TCACTGGGGGGCCAAGAAGAATCCAAGAATCTCCTGCCTTCTAGGGGCTCACACTGGAGGGGGAAAACGGATGCAGAAGAGACAGTACTCACCAAATACTTTCTTACACTTCCTAGCCTCCATTGCAATTAAGTTGGAGCCTTGTGACAAGTTCTGTCTGGTGAACTGTGACCAGAAGTGATATGCATCACTTCTGGTCTAAGGCAGCTATGAACTGGTGTGACTTGAACAACTTTCTCCCCTTGCAGTGATGACCTTGGAGGTCACATGTGCTTAGATGACACAGCCATGGGATGGGCAGGGCCCCAGACTGGGTTAGATCCTGCCTGAAGGAGAATAACTATTCTCCTTCCTTTTTTTTATTGTGGCAAAATATACATAACTTAAATTTTTAACCATTTTAACCATTTTTAAGTGTGTAACTCAGTGGCATTAGGTACAGTCCCAGTGTATACCCCTTTATTTTTAACAAATAAGTGAACAAGTGCTCATTTGAAACTTTGTGAGTCTCCCCCACAACTTTTTAGTACCCAATGATGATTTTTGCTGGATACTGTTATCATCACATAATTTTATTTTATTTTTTAAAGATTTTATTTATTTGAGGGTACCTGGGTGGCTCAGTTGGTTAAGCGACTGCCTTCGGCTCAGGTCATGATCCTGGAGTCCCGGGATCGAGTCCCACATCGGGCTCCCTGCTCGGCAGGGAGTCTGCTTCTCCCTCTGACCCTCTTCCCTCTCGTGCTCTCTATCTCTCATTCTCTCTCTCTCAAATAAATAAGTAAAATCTTTAAAAAAAAAAAAAGATTTTATTTATTTGAGAGAGTGAGAGAGAGCATGAGTGGGGGGAGGAGCAGACTTCCCGCCGACCAGGGAGCCGGATGTAGGGCTCTATCCCAGGACTCCCAAGTTCATGACCTGAGCCTAAGGCAGACGCCCAACCAACTGACCCACCCAGTGCCCCTTATCACATCATTTTAATATGATACATTTATGAGGTTGATTTTACTAATATTCCCCTTTACAGATGAGGAAATTGGAGCACAGAAAGTTTAAGTAATTGCCCAACTTAAATAATGTATTGGGTGGGGCGGGATATTGAACCACCTTTGACTGTAACGTTCAAAACATGCTTTATAGCAGGGGTTGGCACACTATGGCCTGTGGACCATATCTGCCACCTCTTTTTGTGATAAAGTTTTATTGGGACACAACCACACTCACTTGTTTACATATTATCTGTGGCTCAGAGGCCCAAGTTGCATAGTTGTGACAGAGACCATGTAGCCTGCAAAACCTAAGATATTTACTATCTGGCACTTTAAAGAAAAGGTTTGCTGACCTCTGTTTTATATAACAGGTCTTTAAATTTTTTATTCTAATTTTTATTAAAATAATACATGTACATATTGGAAAGTGAAATAGTGCTAGTTTTATTTGGAAAAAGATCCCTGCTACACTATTCTCCACCCCAGTCCCACCCCTCGGAGACAGATCCGCTGCATTCTTTTCTTTCTTTTTAAGTAGGGACTTGAACTCACAACTCTGAGTTCAAGACCTGAGCTGAGATCAAGAGTCGGACACAACCAACTGAGCCACCTGGGGGGAGAGGGAAAGGTAGAGGAGAAGCAGACTCCTCGATGAGCAGGGAGTCTGATTGTGGGACTTGGTATCAAGACCTGAGTTGAGGCAGGCGCTTAACTGACTGAGCCACCCAGGCACCCTCCCCACTTTGTTCTTTTAACTATTTTTTCTGGCATTTACAGTTGCATTCTAAATATGATCCTTATTCCACTATTTCCTGTTGTAACAATTTTAAATTGTTGGGTTTTTTTTTTTAAGATTTTATTTATTTATTTGACAGAGAGAGACACAGCGAGAAAGGAACACAAGCAGGGGGAGTGGGAGAGGGAGAAGCAGACTCCCTGCCGAGCAGGGAGCCCGATGCAGGGCTCCATCCCAGGACCCTGGGATCATGATCTGAGCCGAAGGCAGACGCTTAATGACTGAGCCACCCAGGCGCCTCTGTTGATTTTTTTTTTTTTAAAGTAATCTCTGTGCCCAATGTGGGACTTGAACTCACAACCTGAGATCAAGAGTTTAGTGCTCTATCAGCTGAGCCAGCCAGGCACCCAACCTGTTTCAATAGATTGTGTGTGTGTGTGTGTGTGTTCCAATTTCTCCACATCCTCAACTAACGTTGGTTATTCTCTTTTTTATTGTAGCTATCCCAGCATATGTGAAGTGTTTCTTTTTTTTAAGTTTTTATTCAAATTCCAGTTAGTTAACATACAGTGTAATATTAGTTTCAGGTATATAATATATTGATTCTGTTTTAACAATTTTTTGTTTTATTTTTTTAAGTTTACTTATTTAAATATTCTCTGCCCCCAACATGGGGCTTGAACTCACGACCCCAAGATCAAGAGTGGCATGCTGACTGACTGAGCTAGCCAGGCGCCCCTGTTATAACCATTTGAGACACTAATTATTAATTAACCTAGTGTAAGCCACCCTTTTACTTTTTCAGTGCCAGATTAGAAATAATTTATCATTCTTAGTTGAAATGTAGTGTTTTATGATCATTTAAATAATCTTTTGCATTTTCATCATACTGTACATAAGAAAGTTGAGATGTACTTAGCAATAGCTAACCTTTTAGTACTTTGTGTGTGCTACTCTAATGCAGTTTTCATGCAGTATCATGTTAATCTCAACAGAACCCGCAGGAAATGCAAGTTGTATTACTTTGTCCATTTTCTAGATGAGAGAACATCCTTCAGTGAGATTGTATGATTTTTCCCTTAGTCAAGCACCTAGTGGGTGTATAGCCAGAAACTGACATTTAGAACTTGAGCCCCTAAACGCTGTATTGTGGCGCCATGGGAGTGTCCCGCCACCTAACATTCCTAGATTTGTAGTTTTACTGTCAGCAAATAACCTGAAGACTACAGCATGCAAGTTTGCTGAGGCACAACTTTTTTTTTTTGCCAAGTACTGTTTATCTTTTTTTTTTAAAGATTTTATTTATTTATTTGAGAGAGAGAGAATGAGAGACAGAGAGCATGAGAGGGAAGAGGGTCAGAGGGAGAAGCAGACCCCCCGCTGAGCAGGGAGCCTGATGCGGGACTTGATCCCGGGACTCCAGGATCATGACCTGAGCCGAAGGCAGTCGCTTAACCAACTGAGCCACCCAGGCGCCCTGTTTATCTTTATTTTGCATACACTCACAGCCAGTTTGCATCGAGTGATTTCATTTTACAAAAGGAGGAAAGGGTTGGGTGGTGTCAAGAAAAGTGACCTGTAGAAAAGAACAGGAAGACAAACATTGGGAGCACATAATTTAAAATTTTTTTTGAACACACCAAAGAATCCTGCAGTGCTGCCCGCAGCGTCTGCAATCCTGGGCCACACGTGTGCGCACTCCTTTGCAACTGGTCCTGTGACTGCAGCACCTTTCATTTCGCCTTTACTGTTCACTGTGACCCCCACGTTACCTTCAAAACAGAGACACACACCAGCTTTTCTCCAGTAGGACTTGCGTTGTCCAGTTACCTGCTGGATGTATCTTCTTTCTGAACTCTGGTTTGCCTTTCTTCACTCTGGCCGTCACCCCCAGCAGCAGCAGGAAGCCAGTTCCGTCCCTGATCCCCTTCGCTGAGATCATCTACAGATTTTTGGCTCCTGTGCTGTGAGCACAGTTGATCACGGCTCCTATGGGAAGACCCAGGGAAATCCAGAATTTCGCACCGGAGGACCCACCATGTCCTCGCTTCCACATCTTGAATGCTGGAAAGGGACAGAAAGGCTGGGGCACAGCATTGAATCCATCTGCTCTGAGACAGGTGTAGGGGTGGTCAGGTAGTGGGTCAGCCAGTTGCAGGTGCTTCTGAGGGTAATTCTGTTTTCTAACGGACTATACATTTGCATAGTCTCAGTCTAATGCATTGGCTCCCCAACTTGAGCTTGTGTCAGAATCACCTGGTGGGCTTTGGCAAGCACTAACTCCTGGGCCTCCGCTCTAGTTTCTCATCCAGGAGGTCTAGGGTAGGACCTGAGGATTTGCATTTCTACTAAGTTCCCAGGTAATGCTGATGCTGCAACAGACCTAACTGGTCTAACGCTTTATTCTTCCTGAATGTTAGGGCCGTCCCCACTGTTCTCTCTTGCTCTTTAACTTCCCTGTTAGTCTTCACCTACCAGCCAGCTTGTTAGCTCCTGGAAAGTAGGTCAGTTATTATGGCTTTTACCTTTTTTAAAAAAAAATATATTTTATTTATTTATTTGAGAGAGAAAGAGAGCATGAGCAGGGGTAGAGGCAGAGGGAGAGGGGAAAAGCAGACTCTGCACTGAGCAGAGAGCCCGATATGGGGCTTGATCTCAGGGCCCCGAGATCATGACCTGCGCTGAAGATAGACACTTAACTGACTGAGCCACCCAGGTGCCCCTGGCTTATACTTCCCTTTTTGACCCCACTGAGGCCAGGATCATGTTGTTCATATAGTAGGTAGTAATCAGTTGCTTGGTTACTCTCCGTTGGGGTGTCTTTGTAATTTTGACTCTTTCAATGATAAATATTGCAGTTACAATACATTCTAATTATAAAAATCACCTTTAATAACACCATCACCCTAGCAAACATTTCATGGTTTGTTTTTTCAAGTAGGCGCCATGCCCAACGTGGGGCTTGAACTCATGACCCTGAGGTCAAGGTTAGCATGCTCTACCAACTCAGCCAGCCAGGCGCCCCCACCCTAGCAAGAATTTTAACAGAAGGGTAGAAGTGGACCCTAAAGGATTTTCAGTGCCATGTTGGAGGGTAGCTAAGCACTGAGGAGCTTAATCCTTGATTGGGGCAGTGCTTACAAATAAAGTGTTAAGTAAATAAAGCGACTTGTAGGATACTACATGTGGATGATTTAATCTGATTTTGAGTAGAGGCTCTTGTTTTTTTTTCTTTTAGCATTCTTTGAGATCTTTTTAAATCTCTGTTTTTACAGAGGTCACCCGGAATCAACATGTCTGGGACTGAGGAAGCAGTTCTTAGAGGCCGTGGCAGCCATCCTTCCTCTGCTGGTGGCAACTCTGTATTATGCTTTGGACAGGTAACTGTGTGTTTTTCATACCTGGGAAGACTGAGGTTAAGTGAAAAGGCAGGAGAAAGTAATTTGTGGAGCATCGTCATATATTTGGAAGCTATTTATTGTCAGTGGGTTTTCCTGTTAGGTGCATTATTTGGGAGTCTGATGAACTCTCAGGGCATTGTGGAACTTTAGCATTACTACTGGGGATTATATTTAGATTTACATTTTGTTTATTTTTTTGGATAGATTACATATTCACGTGGTAAAACATTCAAAATGAAACATAGACTATATGTGAATGAGAAGTCTTACTCTTTCCCCATCACTCCTATCCACATTTCACCCAGTTCCAAAGAGTCTGGTGTCATACTCTTTGTGGAGATATTCTGTGCATATAAAAGAGATTCTTGCTTTGTCCGCTCGATTCCATCTTTGTCTTTACCAGAGATCTGTTGGTTCAAAGGTATTTCATTTAAATAGGGCAAGGGGAAAACTACCAAGGGGACAAAAATCAAAACAAGTAGTAGTATATTTATGTACATATAGGATGGAAAATTGTTGAATTGGAGAAGAGGTATTTCCCCTACTCCCTTGCAGGCATAAACATCATATATACAGGCTCTGAGGTGGGACGTTTCAGTTTACCAGTTCTGGCTTGAGAAAGTTTTGTCAGGAGGGTGGTGACACCTAGGGCAATGCCTCTCAAAATGTGGCCCAGTGACCCCCGGAGGTCCACCAGACCTCTTCCAAGTCCATGAGGTCAAGAAGAGTTCCTTAATAATAATAAAATACTTCTTGCCTTTTCCTTTCATTCTCTTATGAGTGAACAGTGGGGCTCTCCAGAGCACGCACAGCCTGGGGGGATACTGCCTTGATGGCGGACGGAAGGTGTGCCTTAGAAGTTTCTCAGTTTTAATTCCTAGTGTTGGTAGACATAACCCCGTAAACAAGAGCTCCTAGGATCCTCAGTAGTTTAAGAGTGTAAAGGGTCTGGAGACCAAAAAGTTGAAGACTTGCTGACGTAGGAATGGGGGAAATGTCTATTTAATTTTCCTTTCTGGATTGCAGTATCAGTACACAGCAGAAGAGTACCAGGCCATCCAGAATGCTCTGAGGCAGAGGCTGGGCCCGGAATACATCAGTAGCCGCATGGCTGGAGGAGGCCAGAGGGTAGGAGAGTTGATATGCTTGAAAAGTGGGTGCCCCTCTAGCTGGCTACTCAGAGGATCTCGCTCCCTCTCTGGGTCTTCATGGATTCAGAAGGTCTCCTGCTCACTGTTGCTAGATGTTTCCTAGTGTCTTTGGGAGGGGATGGGTTCCAGCCGTCATTGTCATCTGAAGGGACCCAAGTGTTGTCTTGAGACTTCCATACCTGCCATCTTGGGATTTTTACACCATCTTTTAAAAATGTTTCTTTTGCCCTTTGCTTCTAATTTTAACTTCTGTGTATATTTTTGGTCTTCAATAATATATGTCAGCCTGAGACTTGTACTTTTTTGGAAACTGTGAGTTTTGGAAACTGCTAGGTGAGTGGATATCTTTCCCTTCTGAGTCTAGTCCCTCCTTCCAGACAAAACATTAGTTCTAACTGCTTCCTTCTGGAAGATCTTTGAAATAAGTTCACTGAGAATTTCCTTGGAATGTTAAGGGCAGTTTTGCCAAAAAAGCTGGTAAGGAGTAAATTAAGTAAATTTTGATTCTCATTTAAGTATGGCAGGGAATTTTAACAAGCTTTTTTTTTTTTCCCCCTTTAATTTCTTTTCCCAGGTATGTTACATTGAAGGTCACAGGGTAATTAATCTGGCCAATGAGATGTTTGGTTACAATGGCTGGGCACACTCTGTCACACAGCAGAATGTGGGTATGTTTCCTGGCAACGGTGACTTCTTCATTTCCCTTACTTTGGTACTAATTTCTGATGAGAGTGTTTTGTGGGTGAGGATGTAGGGTAGGTGTATTTTGTTGCCAGTAGGAGGAATATGGGTGAGGCACAGGGATCAGTATCTTCTTCAACTGGTTCTCTTTCCCACTCCTAGATTTTATTGACCTTAACAATGGCAAGTTCTACGTGGGAGTCTGTGCATTTGTGAGAGTCCAGTTGAAGGTGAGGGTGATGGAATAGACCCGCTGCCTCCAAGGACTGGGTGGGTGGTGAGAGAGAAGGAGCAGGTAGAGAATTCTCTGGACTGGGCCTAGAGAGCTAGGTTTTAGAGCTGGGGCTCAGCCAGTGTTCCTTAGGATGGTGGTACCCAAACATTCTTACTCAGGTGCCCCCTAAATGAATTCTGAAAAACTTGTTTTTTCCTGCACACTTTAAGCTGACACCTAAAGTTTTCACCCAAAGTATAAGTGCAGGTCCTCTGCGTTCACAACTTTGTGTTACACCACTTTGCTCTCATGAGAGACCCATGTTGGCACCTGTTTTCGCTTAACTGAAGGAAACCCAGAGAGGATTTTCGCGTTTATGAAAAAAGGCACACCCTGGTGGCAAGAGTGGCCCTGTGAGTCCATCCCCGGGGAACCACACTCAGCATCTCGGCAGAGCTTTGAACGCTCTCTGAGCGTCTGTGCTTTATCTCCATTTTCTTTGTGCATCCGTTAGCAGAATGTGTCCTAAGGTATCAGAAAAACTTAAGAGAGGTTATTTTTTGCATCTGGGAATGCTCAGAAAGTATTTCCATATAAATTAATGGTAATTCTCTGCTTTATGCCATTTTGGCTTACGAAAGTTTTCATGAGGACATTCTACTTTTGGATAACGGGGCAAACCTGTAGTTGCAACGGTATGTTTTTTAGCATATTGTAAAATCTGACATTCTAAAATAAATCTGTTACATTTTTATCTTCCTTTTTTAATTCAAGTGTAATTAACATACGGTGGTATATCAGTATCAGGTGTACAAGATAGTGCTTGAGCACTTCCCTACATTTCTCACGGCTCATCAGGATAAGTGTATCCTTAGTCCCCTTTATTTCACGTATATTTTGTTACATCTTTTTTAAATGTACCAGTGGATTTTAAATATCATAAACGATTAAATACTGTCATCCACTTAAAAAAATACACGAGCAAGCTATTCTTTAGTCATGAGAAATTTTACATTGTTTCTTCTCAAACTCATATTTCCATTCTATCTCCCCATTGGCTTTTGTCAGTATATGTGTGTGTGTGTGTGTATGTATGTATATGTATATATGTATAAATAAAATATATGTTTAGAATATATATATGTTTGGAATATATATTATATATATATGTGTTCAAAACCTTTTATTTATAACCTTAGCCTATTCCTCTGTGTGTGTGTATGTATGTGTATATAAAAGTAATTTTTTGGGGTAAATTTTCAGTGACCTTACAGCTCTAAATTATAAAAAATTTCTTCTGGATTGAGTTACTATTACAGGTATTATTAACACAAAATTGATCAGTCAATTGGGTCTATGAGGGGGACAAAATAACTACATCAAAATTTATATACTTAATAAAAATAAATTTTTATGGAAAATGCATTTCTTTTTTTTTTTTTTCAAAGATTGTATTTATTTATTTGTCAGAGAGAGAGCACAAGTAGGGGAGTGGCAGGCAGAGGGAGAGGCAGACTCCCCACTGAGCAGGGAGCCCGACACAGGGCTTGATCCCAGGACCGTGGGATCATGCCCTGAGCTGAAGGCAGACGCTTAACTGACTGAGCCACCCAGGCGCCCCAAGAAAATGCATTTTTTTTTAAAGATTTTATTTATTCATTTAATTGACAGGGAGAGAGAGAGAGAGAGAGACAGCGTGAGAGGGAACACGAGCAGGGGGAGTGGGAGAGGGAGAAGCAGGCCTCCGGCCGAGCAGGGAGCCCGATGTGGGGCTCATGACCTGAGCTGAAGGCAGTCGCCCAACCAACTGAGCCACCCAGGCGCCCCAGGAAAATGCATTTCTTAATGAGATGGATGAAGCTTTTTTTCTTTTTAGATAGTTTATATGTCCATAGTTTAATACTACTTTTTCCTAGATAGAACATTCAGCATTAATTCTATTCTAACTTCTCATTTTTGTAAACAGTACTGAAAAACCTTACATAAATAAACTGGGAATGGAGAGAGTGTTGTTACAGTGTCACTCATTTCTTTGAATAAGCTTTCTGAGTTATATTTCAAAAATCAGAGTCCTGTCATCCAAAATTATATTCGGTTCTCTATCAGCTAATAACTTGATCAGGTGTACCTTCATTTTTGGTGAAAGCCAAGAAAGGGATACCCACCGAACCCATGAAAAGATTTGCTATCCAGTCGTTTAGAGTCTGTTAAATACAGTATTTCACATTTTCCTTTTGTTTAGTGTCCCAGAGGTTTTTATACCTTGGGGTAATGCACCTTAGTAAGACTTAGGGGGGGTTAGCTATGTGCCTTTTTTATTTTATTTTATTTATTTATATTTTTTATTTTTTAAAGATTTTATTTATTTGTCAGAGAGAGAGTACGAGCAGGGGTTGCGGCAGGCAGAGGGAGAGGGAGAAGCAGACTCCCTGCTGAGCAGGGAGCCCAATGTAAGGCTCGATCCCAGGACCCTGAGATCATGACCTGAGCCAAAGGCAGATGCTTAACAGACTGAGCCATCCAGGTGCCCCAGATATGTGCCTTTTTTATGTGAAAGAGGAAGTGGGAAGGAAGAATTGTCTTGCACATTTACGCGGAGATCAGGTCTAGAACGTAGTGCTGGAAATTAGTTCTCTTCCAACTCTCTGTGCCCGTGTGCCCTTTAGCAAGGCGCCTGGGTTCTGTGCACCTGGTGCGAATGCCCCTGAAGGTGAGAAAAGCTGTGGAACCGGGGACGCGACTGCAGCTTTTCATGTTGGAGTCTGAACTCCTTTTCTACCCGCAGGATGGCTCATATCATGAAGATGTGGGCTATGGTGTCAGTGAGGGCCTCAAGTCAAAAGCCTTGTCTTTGGAGAAGGCCAGGAAGGAGGCCGTGACCGACGGGCTGAAGCGAGCGCTGAGGTGAGCACAAGGGCTGGGGTGAGCACCAGGGCTGGGGTCTAACCTGCGTCAATTTTATTTCCTGTTTGTTTGTTTAAAACGTAATTTGTTCATGTGGTACGAAAGTTAAAATAACCCAGTCTCACTGCCCCTTGTCCCTGTTGGCCCTGTTTCCTACACTTTGTATTTTCCCCATGCTTCTTTATGCTTAGGTCCGCCTTCTTTGGGATCAAGTGGTAGAATACTATATTCTCTACTCTGTACTTGATTTTGCATACCCCCGTCTCAGTCGTGTGTCTTGGAGGCCCTTCCACACAAGGACAGAGATAGCTTCCCCATTCTCTTTAAAACACCTAAACAGTGTTTCCTTGGGTATGTACAACTTAGGTGCATAGAACAAGGTGTTTTTTTTTTTTTTTAACCTTTTTTGGGGTCATACGTGGCCTTTGAGAATTGAAGTGAATTGGATCACACATGTATGAACCTACACTAAAAACTTGCTGTGCCATAACCCATACAGGAGGCCAGATGTCCCAAGTAAAGAACTTCAGTCATGAAGGAAGATGTGCCCTAAGTGTGTGTTGCCCACTATTATTGGGGAATTGGAACTGTCCTTGGAAAAAGAATTCTCTGCTCTGGAGTTGGTGCTCCATGGCAGGAGGTAGCTAATGGGGTTTTGTGAGTGGTTTCTTAGTCTTTTCGTCCTCCCTGCCTCTTGTTGAGGGCAGAGACTGGTGACTGTTATGCCCTGTGCTATATTCTGAGAGCCTCATACAGAGTGCGTGAACATGGCAGGTGCCCAGGAAATGTTACTGCATGTATATTAGGTTCCATCTCCTCTGCCGCAGTTGAGAAGCACCTTGCCACAAAGGTTGTATCTGGTCTCTGATATTTACACCTAATCATTCTCAACCTGTTTCTCGCTCTTTTTTTTTTTGTTCCTTACCCTTAGAAGTTTCGGGAATGCACTTGGAAATTGTGTTCTGGACAAAGACTATCTGAGGTCACTAAATAAGCTTCCCCGCCAGGTATGTTAGAAATGGATGAATGGAATGCATCGCAGTAGAGATAGGACTACTTTCCAGGTGGCATGGGTTGAGTATTCCGGGAGGGAGAGAGAAGGGGAGACTCAGCTCTTTCGAGGGTCTGGAATGTGTATTTCAGACTTGTTTGATGACCAGAGCCAGCAGGAACCAGTTACCTTATTTTCCAGCTGAAGGAATTGAACCCTCGAGAATCCGTGCCACTTGTTTTCTTCCACACGAGAGCTGTCTTCGGGAACGGTCTGTGAAACCTCAAAAGGAGCACAGAGCCCCCGGCAGCGCCCCTGTGGTTCCTTAGCAACACTCAGGAAGAACCTCACCTCTTCAGCCTTCTTGCTGCTCCTGCGCTCTAGGAGCCACGGCGTAGATCCCCATGTCTCTGCCCGAGCGAGCCTATCACATGAGCAGGGCCCTGGCCTCGCTCTTGGCGGGGGCTGAGGCGGGGGGGCGGAGCGTGCCTGTGGCCGGTGGAGTGGCTGCCCTCTCGGGGCGGGGCTGGGGCATTCTCGATGGCCGCCCCCCCGCAGTGCCGCCGCCCACGGCAGCACTCCCGGGCGTGTGTCCTCGAAGGCTGCTGCGTGGGGACACCTGACAGATGGGCGTGGCACTTGGCAGCTGTCAAAACACCACACTTTCTCTTGTTAAAATCCTTTTTAATGCGCTATTGGCCCCCGCTTGCTTATATTTTGTTAAGAATTTTTGCGTCTGTGTTTATGAGGGATATTAGATTTTTTTTATTGTAAAAAAATAACATAAAATTGACCATTTTAGCCATTTTTAAGTGTACAGTTCACTGATGAAACAAATCTCCAGAACTTTTAATCTTGGGATACTGCAACTTTATACCCATAGGACAACTCCCCATTTCCCCTTCTCACAGCCCCTGGTTACCAGCATTCTACTTCCGGTTCCTGTGAATTTGACCACTTTAGACGCCACATGCAAGTGGAATCATACTGTTTGTTTTTCTGTGACTTATTTCACTTAGCATAATGGCCTCAAGTTTCATCTATGTTGTAGCCTGTGTCAGAAGTACCTTCCTTTTTTTTCGGCATGCCTGGCTGGCTCAGTCGGTAGAGTGTGGGACCCTTGATCTCAGGTTTTAAGTTCAAGCCCCATGTTGGGTGTAGAGATCTCTTAAAATTAAGTCCTTAAAAAAAAAAAAGAATTACCTTCCATTTTAAGGCTGAATAATATTCCACTGTATGCATACACCACATTTTCTTTTAATTTTTCCATCAATGGACATCTCGTTGGCTTTCATCTCTTGACTTGGGAATAGTGCTGTTATGAACATGGTTTTGCAAATACCTCCTCAAGACCCTGCTTTCAGTTATTTTGGATGTATCCACAGGTGGGGTTGCTGGATCATATGGTAGTGTTTTTTTTTGTTTTTGTTTTTGTTTTTTAACACAGAGCTTGAGCTCACCACCCTGAGGTCAAGCCCTGAGCTCAGATCAAGAGTTGGACACTTTAACTGACTGAGCCACCCAGGCGCCCCCATATGGTAGTTTTTTGAGGAACTTCCACACTGTTTTCTATAGTGTCCATCACATTTTATAGTTCAACCAATAGTGCACAAGTGCTCCAATTTCTCTACATCCTTGCCAACACTTGTTTTCTGCTTTTTTGATAGCAGCCATCCTAGTGGGCGTGAGGTGCCATCTTATTGTGGGTTTGATTTGCATTTCTCTGATGATGAGTTTCGATGTTGAACATTTTTTCATATGCTTTTTGGCCATTTGTATATCATCTTTGGAGAAATGTCTATTAAGATACCTTGCCCATTTTTTAATTGGGGATTTTAATTTTTTGTTGTTGGGTTGTAGGAATTCTGTATATATTTTGAATATTAACCCCTTATCAGAGACATGATTGCAAAATTTATTTTCCTATTTCATAGGTTGCCTTTAAAATGTTTAAGTTTGATTGTCCCATTTGTATATTTTTGCTTTGTGTTTTTAGTGTCATATGCAAGAAATCACTGTCAAATCCAATGTCATCAAGCTTTTCCCCTATATTTTCATCTATGAGTTTTATGGATTTGGTCTTATGTTTAGGTCTTTAAACTATCTTGAATTTATTTTTGTTTATGATGTAAGATACAGGTCTAACTTCATTCTTCTGCATGTGGATATCCAGTTTTCCCAGCATCATTTGTTGAAGAGACTCTCCTTTCCCCATTGAGTGGTCTTGGCACGCTTGTTGATATTCATTTGATCATTTATGCAAGGGTTTATTTCTGGGCTCTCTATTCCATTGGACTGTGTGTCTGTATTTATGGCAGTATTGTACCATTTTGATCACTGTAGCTTTGCAGTGTGTTTTCAGAAGGTATGAGGAGTCCTTCAACTTTGTTCTTCTTTTTCAATATTGTTTTCACTATTTGAAGTCCTTTGAGATTCTGTATGAATTTTAGGATGATTTTTTTTTAATGCAAATAATACTATGGGAATTTGGATAGGGCTTGTGTCGAATCAGTAGATCACTTTGGTAATATGGGCATCTTAACCATATTAAGTCTTCCAATTTGTGAACAGGGGATGTCTTTCCATTTTTTTGTGGCTTCTTTAATTACTTTTAGCAATGTTTTGCAGTTTTCAGTGTACAAGTCTTTCACATTCTTGGTTAGGTTTATTACTAAGTATTTTATTCTTTTGATGCTTTTGTAGATGGATTGTTTTTTTCATTTTCTTTTTGGATTGTTCATTACTAGTGTATAGACACAACTGATTTTTGTGTGTTGATTTTGTATTCTGCAACTTTGTTGAATTTATTAGTTCTAATAATTTTTTTTTTGTAGTCTGTAGGGTTTTCTGCATATGAGATCATGTCATCTACATCTAGAGATAATTTTATTTCTTTTCCATTTTGGATTCCTTTTTCTTTGCTAACTGCTCTGGCTAGGATTTCTGGTATACTGAGTATGAGTAATGAGAGTGGGCATCCTTGCCTTGTTCCTGATATAATGGGAAAAGCTTTCAGTCTTTCACCATTGAGTATGATGTTAGCTGTGGGCTTTTCATATAAGGCCTTCATTATGTTGAGGTATATTTCTTCTATTCCTAGTTTGTTGAATATTTTTATCACGAAAAGGTATTGAGTCTTATCAAATGCTTTTTCTGCATTAGTTGAGATTAGCATGTGCTTTTGTCCCTTCTTTTGTTACTGTGGTGTGTATCACACTAATTGATTTGTGGAGTTGACCCATCCTTGCATCCTATGAATAAATCCCCCTTGGTCATGGTGTATAATTCTTTTAATGTGCTATTGAATTTGGTGTGCTAGAATTTGGAGGATCTTTTTTTTAAAATAAAGAATATTTAATTAATTAATTTATTTGAGAGAGAGAGTGCATGCATGCATGCATGAGCCAGGGGAGGGGCAGAGGGAGAGGGAGAGAAGCAGACTCCTCACTGAGCATGGAGCCCAACATGGGGCTCAGTACCGTGACCCTGAGATCATGACCTGAGCTGAAATCAAGAGTCAGCTGCTTATCTGAGCCATCCAGGCGCCCTGGAGGATCTGTGTATCAATATTTATCAAGGATATTTTTCTATAGTTTTCTCACAGTGTTGTTTTTCTTCTTGTAGTGTCATTGGCTTTTCTGTTTTGTTTTTATTAAGTTTTTTATTTTAATTCCAGTCTAGTTAACATATAGTGCTATATTAGTTTCAGGTGTACAATATAGTGATTCAACAATTCTATATATTACTCAGTGTTCATCGTGATAAGTGTATATAGTGTCATTGTTTGACTTTGGTATCAGAGTAATGCTGGCCTTATAGAGTGAGCTTGGAAGTGTTCCCTCCACTTTAGCTTTTGGAAGAGTTTGAGGAGGATTGGTGTTAAATTTTTAAATGTTTGGTAGAATTCTCCCATGAAGCCATTTAGTTCGGGGTTTTTTTCTTGGTGGTGGTGGTGGTAAGTTTTAGATTACTGATTTAATCTTCTAACTAGTAACTGGTCTATTTGGATTGTCTGTTTCTTCATGATTCAGTCTTTGTAGGTTGTATGTGTCTAGGAATTTGTCCATTTCTTCTAGGTTTTTTGATTTGTTATATAATTGTTCAGAGTATTCTAATAATCTTTTTTATTTCTGTGGCATCGGTTGTAATGTCCCTATTTTTGGATTTTAGTTATTTGAGTCTTCTCTTTTTTCTTAGTTAATCTAAGGGTTTATCAATTTTGTTGATCTTTTCAAAAAACTAACTCTTAGTTTTGTCAATTTTTTTTCCCTATTGCATTTCTGTTCTCTATGTCATGTATCTCTGCTCCAAGCTTTATTTCATTTTTTTGCTAGCTTGTGTCAGCAATAAACCTTCCTGTTAGCACTGCTTTTGCTGCATACCATAGGTTTTGGTATGTTGTGTTTTCATTTTCATTTGTCTCAAGATACTTTCTAATTTCCCTTGTGACTTGTTCTTTGACCCATTAGTTGTTTAAGAGTGTACTGTTTAATTTCCACATGTTTGTGGATTTTCCGCTATTTCCTTCTGCTATTGATTTCTGGTTTTATTCCACTGTGATCAGTAAGCATACTTTATATGATTTCTGTATTCTTCAGTTGGTTAAGACTTGTTTAGTAGCCTAACATGTGGTCTCTCCTGGAGAATATTTCGTGTGTACTTGAGAAGAATTTATAATCTGTTGTTGGGTGGAGTATTCTGTATATGTCTGTTAGGTCCAGTTGGCCTATAATGTTCAAATCCTCTATTTCCTTATTGATCTTCTGTCTGGTTATTCTCTCGATTATTGGAGGTAGAATATTGAAGTTTCCTACTATTATTGTATTGTGTTGCTGTCTATTTCTCTATCCAGTTCTGACAAAGTTTCCTTTATATATAGGAGCTCTGGTGTTTGGTACACAAATATTTATAATTGTTGTACCTATTGAGTGAATTGACCCTTTTATCATTATATAATGTCCTCCTTTGTCTCTTGTAACAATTTTTGACTTAAAGTCTGTTTTGTCTGGTATTAGT